GATCCCCATTGACTCCTCAGATGGGTATAAACACTTAAGGACACTGTGCACAGCTTTGACTATTTTTAAACACTGTCTACATGTGGGTTTTTAATTTTAAAAGCTGTGTTTTAATTCTTCTTGGGCTTAATGAGATGGATGATGCATGGTTGATTTCTTGGCCTCTAAAACATTCTGTTAAAAACAGCCCTGGTTAGTGAGCTTGCCCCCAGATGAATGGCTTCTTGATCAGTGATGTCATTATTTGTACTTCAAAGTTTCCGGCGACAAAATTTTATATCAGTGAGACAAATTTAGAAGGAAACTTAGCTCTGTTGATAAACTGTAAGTTTAAGTTTTACACCATTAATCAATTTGTAGAGTGAAAACATGTCTTTTTAAAGTATCTACAAATAATTGTTTGAGTAGTCTGCTGCAGAAAAACATGTTACAGCTTGGTGTTACAGCTCGGTATTACAGCTCAGTTGTGACAGCAACCTGGATGCAGGCGAGAAACCAAGCAGCACTCAGAGGGTTGGAGAACTCAGATTTATTACGCCAGCAGGCCCAAAGAAGTTAACATTTCAAGCTCTGGATCCTGTCTGTAGGTTTACACAGGTTTTTATAGGCTGCCAGTTTATACTTTGCAATATCATATGCAAATAAGGTATAACAAAAGTTGACTAATTAGGAACAGGCTTTGTAGAAATGGACCAATCAGGGGGGAAGAAATAACCAATCAGGAGTGACCTTCATGCAAATGAAGTAGTACAAATGGACCAATCAGGAGGGAAAGAAAGAACCAATCAGGAATTAGCTCAGGGAACCAATAGAATTTGAGGGGTAAGTTCCACTTTCCTAGAAGTAAGCCATTTCAGAGGCAAAAATTGAAATAGAGCCTCTGGGCCAGGGAACCAGATGGTGCTGGCAGGAGGGTAGTGGCCCTGCCTGGGGGTCCTGCTGGTCTTTTTTTATGGGGCTTCCCACCTCAGTCCAGAGTTTATAAACTGTTTTTATATGCATTATCTCAATTGATCCTTTGAAGTATTATCACGGATATTATCATTATTATTATTTGACAGAAGGGAGATGAGTCTCAGAAAAATTAAGTAACGCTTACAAGGTCACACATGCAATAATAAAACCAGGTCTCAAGCGCCCCTTGGTTCTTTCCCTGCACCTCAGTGCCCAACCTCAGTGGAGAGAAGCAGCAATTCAACTGAGAACATCAAAAGACAGAAAGAAAGACACCTCTTGCCCCTGAAATTAGGGCACAGGGAGACAGAGAAGAAGAGAGTCAAGGAAAGTAAGGGGTAAAGACGGTGGAAAATGAAAGCGCCCATCAGCTCCTGCTGGGTTACCTTGACAGTCAGCAAACAGGAGGTGAAGCCCCTCCTGAAATTGAAAGCCTGATGGGATCAGCTTACCCAGGTGGGAAGTGGAGACAGCAGGGTGTACCAAAAACAAACCAAAGGTCAACACACATGGATCAAGTCCCTAGATGTGCCAGACACTTGCTAAACCCAAGAATACAAAGATGAATAATACATGACCTGCACTGGGACATGGTGCTGTGTGCCAGAAATTGACACAGTGTAACTGACTATACTTCAGTTAAATAATAATAATAATAATAATAATAATAATAATAATAATAATAATAATAATAATAATACAGGACCTGGCCCCAAGGAGCTCACAGGATTGGCAAAGAGCTGCAAGAGGCCAGGTGAATGTTACCAGTTACCTAATCACAAACTTGATGAATTCATTGTGGTTTTTTAGTAAAGGGGAATAAATATGAGATTATGAAAATCAATGATCAGATAATTTCCACTCAACCCTCTGACACTCATTTATTTAGCCAATAGGTATTTACTGAGCCCTGATTACGTGGCAGGCACACCGTTGGCTCCTGGCTACACAAAGGTCATCAGTGCAGCTAAATATCTACCAGCAGGTCTGTAATATCAGTGAGCTCCATTGTTTTGCCCTCCTTATCAAAGATCAGATTTCAGGCCATTGATACGAAGTTTATTTTCTTTATCAGTTCCAGTATATCCTGCAGTTGTTCTTTTCCAAGTCCATAGATTTTTTTTATTTGCTTTTAAGTCCATTTACAGAGGCATTAGGAGGTTACTTGCTAGATCTTTTTTTTTTTTTGGTCAATTTTAATTTATTTATTATTGTAATCTATAGCTCTCAGTTTTTAATCCTCTCAGTGTGTGTTCTATTGCTTTATTACACACCAGATGCAATTTTTCTTCATTAGTGGACTGGAAATTCTCATGATTCCAGATTCTTTTGGAATTTGTGATGCTTTACAGAAGTATCAGGTAGAGGCAGTGTTTATTCCGACCTTAGGAATAATATAGTGTATACATTATAATATGTCATGACAGTGTTTAAACTAAGTTTTCTTAGCTTCAGCAATACTGATATTTTGAGCCAGGCAAGTCTCTGTCATGTTGGGCTGTTCTGTGCATTGAGGGTCTTTAGTTTACACTCTACTCACCAGACTCAGGAGCTTTGCCCATTCCTGGCTGTGACAGCCAGAACTCTCACCAGATATTTCCAAATGTGCCCCAGGGCACAAATTCACTCTTGGCTTAGAATGACTAGTTTACCTGAGTTTAGTCCTCACAATACCCAGGTCATCCTAAATCAAGGTTTATTGGGTCAGGAATGTAGGATTCTACTACCAGGAAAAAATTCCAAAAGTACCTTCCTGGTTTGCCTACTTAATCACTTCACTTTACGGCCTCTCATGTTCGGTCGTTCGGGACATCAGTGTCCTGTAACTTCAAATGAAAAATCGGGTTTAATTTTGCCCAAAGTCACTTGTTGATTTTTCAGTGAGAAATGAGAGAAAATACTTCCCAGCTTTCGGGTACCCAAGGGAAAGCAGCTGGAAGTCAGCTGTACCTCAGCAGAGACGTAATTCAGGGGGAGCCTGGTTAATGGAGGAAGTGTCTGCCCCTCCTCCTACCCGCTCTCCTCACTTCCTCATCCCCATCATTACCATTGCCTGAAGGGCACACTTTGTGACTTCGTGAGCATCTAGCACAGTGCCTTTAACAGAGTCCGCCTTTCAGAATTATGTATTGAATTGAATTAATTGAAAAACACATGCTTTTGGGTTCTTCACCAGGTTCCCAATTAGTCCATGATTTTGCCCTCCTTATCAAAGATGTGATTACAGACTGTTGACATGACCTGTTTATCTACTCTTACTGCCTGAGTCTCCTGGGTACCCAAACCTGTGCTCATTTCGTGGTGGCAAAGAGAAAGGAGAGGGAGAAAGCAGTCTCTCTTGCCTTCAGAAAGGGCGAAGTCTGATCGGGCAAGAGGTGAAGTTATTAACAAAGAAAAACACAAGGCTGAGACGAAGCAAGTAGATGAAATAGGACACGTGATGGAAATCAGGACAGCTAGGGTCCAGTTGGTTCTGTCTACCGCTAACCACCCACTGACTTTTGGGGCCATCCGCCTTTCTGGGTCTCTCTTTTTCAGCTGTTAATACAGATGATCTAGGTAAGGCAGGGATGTGGACAGCCTGGGGCCAGGAAGTGTACCTTCAATGGACCCCTGCCACACTGAGTATTGTCCATGGTGGGTGCCCAGATAATAATTTTTATTTAAATGGCAATATCTCCCAGGTGGCACTTAACAGTTTATGAAGCCCTTTCATATGCATCATCACTTTTGAGCCCCATCATGATCTCATGCACTAGACGAGGCATTGTTATTTGCATTTAAGAGATTACAAAACAGACTTGGACAGACTGGTCAGTAGTGTCATTGGAACTCCTGCCTCTAATCTTCTAAAACACCATGTGCTTTTCCTTCTGCGTCAGGATGCTGCTAGTAATGAAGAAACATTTCTCTCAACATAGCTCTCGTTTAGATTTCGTCATCAGCTTGAAGTGCCTCACCTGCATGGCTTCACCAGACCCCTAAATGCAACAGCACATTCCGCTGTGGGGACACTGTTCCCAGAGCGTCGTGAACTTAACTCTTTGCTGCACAGATTGCTCTAAATTATAATTGCTCAGTCACTTTTCTGTCTCTGCTACTAGATTACAAGCTTCTTGAGAGCAGGGCCTGGGTCTTATTCAGTGTTTCATCTTTGATGTCTACCTCAGTGCCTGCTGATTGGTGCACCATAAACATTTGTGAAATTAACTAAAACTCAACATAAGATTTGAGGCGTTCCAAAACTGACTACACGGAAAGTGAAATGTCAAAACTTTATTACAATTTTCACAAATCATTTTATGTATTGATTCCAGCTCCTGTGGAATCAAGTAAGCTATTCGTATTTTTTAAGAATGATTTTCACATCTGAAATTCAAAAGGGACCACATTTACCTTGAAAGTTTCAGCCCAGTAACCGCACGCATACTCCCACAATTTTATGGAAATAATATTGAATAAGTGGATGGTTGAATTGCTAACCCTGAAGATAATGTGTGTGTATACATGGCCATCAGGTCAAAAAATATAAACACTTTCGCTGGATAAGTACACGAGCAACATAATTTATAATTGTTAATGTCTTTACAGTTTTTACTGCAAATAATTAGCATCTCCCAACTACAAAGTCTTGGCTCATTTATATAATATTCATAAAGTGTACCTAGATGGTCTTTATGAGATTCTAATTTTTAAAAGGCCAGAAGAGGAAAGGGAAATTTGTAGCAAATGATACTTGGAACGGGAAGATGTGTAGCTTAAGTGTATAAATCATTGATGTTACTTCCTTGCTGTATCCTTCCATGTTTTGAACATCCTTAAATAAATGAAGGAAAGGGGGTTGCAGAGATGCTAAATGAAGGAAAAAGGAGAAGGATCTGTTTACTAGAATCCAAAACCTGACGCTCCCTTAAAAACCAGGCAAGGGCAAGAGGCATTTAGAAATGGCCTCTGAAGCGTGGTTTGCGGTATGTTTCAGCCCAAGTTCGACTTCAGATCTAAATCAACCCTTGACCTTGATTTCTTCTGGTTGATTTGCCCAACAGGATCTTCTGGCGTCGGCAGGTTCACTTGATGTCAGGGATCCGGCCCAGCACCATCACCAGCTCCTTCCCCCAGCTCATGTCCAATGTGGATGCAGCTTACGAAGTGGCTGACAGGGGCACAGCTTACTTCTTCAAAGGTACCCCAAAGGTCCCACACAGGAAGAGATGGCAGGGGACAATGCCCAGTGTGTTTGGAACATCTGAAATTGTCAGCATACATTAGTGATCACAGAGGGTGCTCCAGGCACTCCTTCCCCTCAGATTGGGTGTGAAATACCCCTCTCCTGTCTTGTAATGATGACGGAATGACAGTGACTATGGACAATGACAGAAATGACAATGACTATAGAACTCTTTTCCAAGCCAAAGAGCTATCCTAGTGAGGCTCTGTGATAAGTGACAGCGTCCAGGGAACTAGAAGGCTGGTCCCTGCCCCCAAGACTCTGCCCTGAGTGACGTGGTATACTCCACTGAGAGCCTCGAGTTAACAAAACATGGCGCCCTCAGGACGACAGTATCCTTGCTGTTGGGCCCTGCTCAGAAGTAGCTGGGCATGAAGACGCTGGTGACTTCAGGAGGTGGACACACAAGAAACCAATCTCTGGCTCCAGCCCTTTGTTTTGTTTTGTTTTTGTGGGGAGAGGGTAATTCAGATTATTTATTTGTTATTTTTTTAAATGGAGTTACTGGGGATTGAACCCAGGACCTCATGCTGAGCACGCGCTCTACACTGAGCTGTACCCACCACCCCTTCCAAGCTCTTTAATATCTGAGTGCCTTTAGGAAGTTATCTAACTGCTCTGAGTCTTTGTTTCTTCCTGCGCAAAAGATTATAGTAACATCAACCTTGAAGACGTGACAATGGCTAGCCAATGGAAGTTATCCCATAAGTGGTAACTATCAATTTTAACTTGTCTTCTGGTTGCTAAGATACAAGGATAGAAAGCTAGTTTCAATTTAAGAATCACAGCATTTGTGTGTCACTTGCCCCTTCTCTCGCATGTACATATGAGACTAAAAAGAGATTATACAGATGAAAATCATCTGAAAAAAAGTGTTAAATTTAAGACATAATTGATATCAATATGGTTGCTTAAGGCATCCCTAGGGATTTTTGCCTCCAGGGCAAGTTTTAAGTCTTTTACTGAATTGAACAGAGGCTTCTATCTCTCCTATTGCGTTGACAAATATCCCGTAAACTAGCCCTCTTTGTGATCCTGCAGACAAATCCTCCTGCGTGAGGAGCATCACTAAGTGGTACAGAGTTTTTGTCAACTTTAATTTCTGTTTCCAGGACCCCACTACTGGGTAACAAGAGGCTTCCAGATGCAGGGTCCTCCCCGGACTATTTATGACTATGGGTTCCCAAGGAACGTGCAGCGGATAGATGCTGCGGTCTACCTCAAGGATGCACAGAAGACCCTTTTCTTTGTGGGAGATGAATACTACAGGTATGGCTTTCCTCCTTCTGCTTGTCCAGATGTAGTCCATGAGAAGGAAAAATCCTTTTGCTGAAAAGAATGCAAGGCACATTTGTAATAGGTCCATTGACTTTTCTTGGCCACTGGGGTGTCATTTACTGATCGTTGACTGTCTCCAAGCTACAGAACCACCCAAATAAGTGAACCATTCATTCCATAATCCCATCGTTTGCTCTCCAGCCCGTGAAACATCCTAAGCTTTCAAAGTATTCATTAACTGGACCCCCAGTGGCCTAAGAGAGTGAATGTAATGCCTCCAGCACAGAAGTTCCCACTGGGAACGCCTGGGGGGAGAACTGACCCCTCTTCTGTGAGTATCAGTGCGTTCCGGAATACTCTGTGACTTTGTGCGAAATGAATGTGGTCATGACTGTGGGGCTCTTTGAAGGAAAGTTCTGCTGAAAGAAAGAGGCCTTATTGCTAAGTTCTTTTACCTAACCCAGAACATGACGGTTCTTCTTGTCCAAAGTGGATCATAGACAATTTCCATACCCGTCTTGCAGCAAGTTCACATAAATAGATCTGAATAAGGTGCCATCAGTCATCCCATCACTGTGCTCAGGGCCTCACCGCATCTCTCCTGTCATCTCACTGTCTTGTTTGATTTCTGCTGGAGAACTGGGAGCCTCTCTGTCAGGCTCTGCCTCGGCACCTTCTCTGTTCCGGGTTCTCACTTTAGCTTCACTTGTTTTTCTGAACTTCAAGAGAGAAGTGAAAACAGTTGCTAAACGGTTGACTGTGCTCAACACTTTTGGTCCCAGTCAGGATCAGGCAAGGGCCCAATTTTGGTCCAAGGGTTTTCATTTTATTCTACATTATTTATTTTGAAATGACCATTTCTGTGGCATAATATAAATTTATAAATAAATCCCTGTCATCTTCTTCCATTTGACTATCTTCCTCAGTCTGGGGCTGAGAAAATAATACAACTTGAGCGCAGAGACATTTCATGAAAAGGGAAAATGTTTTCATAAAAATGTCCAGCAAGCGTGGACCCTGCTGGCTCTTCTGGACATTCAGAGCCCTGGTAGCATTGCTCACAGTGTCACAGGCTCTCATGACTTGACACTTCCAGCCCAGGGCTTCAACCGCTAAGCCAGCTACTGTTCTGTTGGAACTTTCGGTATGAAATAGTGACAGTAACTCACTTATTAAGTCCCTAACACCTGCTGGGCATATTCTCCGAGAGCTCTTTTTAAGACAAGGTGGTTGTCATCAGCGTGCTGGCACACAGGAGGATGGGTGGAGAAACCCAGTTCTCCCTGTGGAGTTTTAGAGAGTGACACCCCAAGAGGCACGTACGGGCAAGCGTGCGAAAGTGCGAGTTGTGACGATTCACTTAATTCGCCAAAGCCTGCTCACGGCCTGGTTCTCATTGCGGGGATTCGACGCTCTCATTATCTCTGTTCTCCATTTATTGCCTCGTCTTTGAACTAATCTGCCACCCACCAGCAGCCGCAGCGAAGCCTGTACCTCCGATCAGGCAGGACTGAGGCTTAATAGCTCACACAAGAAGCTTGGTGAGAAGTTTTCCATTCTCTGTAAATTTAAGGAAGGGGAAGGAGAGGGCCTTTGGTTTTAACAATGCCTGATCCCCGCTGAGGAAATAGTATTGAACCTTTCCAGCTCAACCTCTGTGAGTGTCTATTAAGGAGACGTTTTTAGCAATCTACATAAAAGACATTCATTAAGAAGTCGGCCTTGGGCATTTAACTCAAATGTTAAAGAACTCACCTTGCTGGTAAGGAAAAGAGACCACAGCAGGCACTTTTGATATTAACCTCCCCAGGTTATTGAAAGTAGTAAGTGGCACAATGCATGTAGATACATAGCACACTGCCTGACACATAGTAGGTGTGCAAAAAGAGTCACCGCTCAGGAATAGTAGGAACTTCTATGGTCATCTACAAAGGATGGCTTAAAAAGGTGTGATAATTAACAAATGATGACTTCAACCTCAATATTCCTCAGAAAAGCAATCCAGCCAAAGAGCTGGTCAAAGGGAATTTCCTTTTTAAAAGCTGGAGGGCTCTGACATTGTCTTGAAATGTCTACCTTTGGCAAAGCATAGACAATCCTTTCAGCAATAGGTATCTCCTACTTCACACTCGCCGACACACACTGGTTTACACACTAAGGAATAGGACAAATAACCTTGACCTACGAAAGTTCAGGAAAAGCTATTGGGTCATCTTTATTAATAAATCCCCTTTATTAATGGATGTTTTCCATACATTTTGTTCAGCAGGGTCTCACGTGGATGACATCTTATTGTCTTGTGAAGCCCTGTATTTGTTAGCAATTACATTCAGCTGCTAGTAAAAAAGTCCAGAAGTAATTGTGGCTTAAATATAAAAAGGTCTTTTTTCTCATAAATGTAAAATGTCTGGAGTTCAACAGATTTAGAGCTGGTAAGGTGGGTCCATGGTCATTAGGGACCCAAGTGCCTTCTGATTCTTTGCTCCAGTGGTAAAATGTGGCTTCTGCTCCCGTGGTTGCCATGGGATTCAAGGAGGCCAGTGGAGCCCCGGCCATTACATCCTGATCTACACAGGAAGCAGGAGGGCTGGAAGGAAAAGCGAAGGAGATAAATGAAGTTCTCTAGGTAAAGCACATGAATGCACTCAAAAATACAGATGGCCACAGCCTCAAGTTATAGACCAAGAATTTTACTGTACTGACACCCATTGACAGTGTGTTAGGATTTACTTCCCTTAGCATCCCTCAGATTTTTCTCTGGTCCTCATGCTAGTTCAGTCTGTGATACAAATAATGTGCCAAGGGAAGAAAAGGCTCTGGCTACGCTGGTTGTCAGAGAAGCTCTCCATGAACCCCTAGGGTTGGGGACCAGTTTTAATTAATGGCTGTCATGAGAAAAGCACCGAAAAACTTCCCCTACTGAGGACTGAGGGTTGGCTTGGGGCCAGGTTGATTCAGGCTCTGAGAGTGAGAACCCACATGTCAGTGTAATAGTAACATGGGGCGGGGGGTGAGGAACTACAAAGCAAAATCCAAAAAGGGGCTCTACCTTGCCAACGCCATCACGTGCCACATCACCAAATGACATTCCAGTGAGATTTTACTAACAAGTGTTACTTCTCCATACATCTATTTGCTTTGCTTCCTTCCTTTCCTTTTTCTAGAAAGCCCCAGAGATCCAACCAGTTTTTTTTTCTTTACATTACTTTCACCACTGATGACTAATTTCTCCCTATAGAGGTTCTCCCTCGCTTACTAATAGCAGAGCAGTGATTACACCAAGGAGTCTCTGAGGACTCGGGGGATGCCA